GCTCTGCCTGTCTCTCGGGTCCCAAACAGCCTCCTGCCCAGGGGTGGTTTGCGCCTGTCAGGGGGCACTGCCTCTGAGAGCCCCGGGGTGGAATGTGCCCTGGCAGCTTCTGGGACTCAGGGAAGGGGCTGCCTCTGGCTGGGGTCAGCCTGTCACAGGCACGGACTCCTGGCTGGCTTGCCAAAATTGCTAGCAAACCTGTTTGTGTGCCCGACACACAGTGAAGCCAAACAATACCAAGGGCTGGAGTTTGGAGCAGAGAAAAATTTCCTGTAGGGTCATGCAAGAAGGGTCGTTGTGTCCCCAAACACTCCAAAGGGTTTCAGCAAAGCATTTTTAAAGGCCCGGGGAGGGAGTGGGGTCCCAGGGTATGTGACGGCTCCTACACAATTCTCTGATTGCCTGATGGTGTTAGGTAACGGGGCGGTGTCACAGGGGTTGACGTTATCAGTCCTGAGGCTCCAGGAGGCCTGGGGGCTGTGTGCTCAAGGTCACCGAGTAGTTACCGTCTTCCATTTGGTGGGGGGTTTTCAGGTCTGTGAAATAATTTAGGAAGGGCGCATCCGAGGGCCTCAGAGAGGAGCTAAAGCAGAGGATGGGGGTGGGAGGGAGTCCTGTGGGGAAGGCCCCGTAGGCTCCTGCCTGTTACACTGCTGACGGCACCTAGAATCTGCCGCCCCTGCTGGACAGGAGGCTGAGCGGGAAGGGGCCGCCCTGAGCCCACCACCAGGTGCGCCTTCAGCTGGGGGCCTGGCTCCAGAGCAGCCTTGAAGGCCGTGTGGGCCCCAGGCACTCGTAACTTGGGGCCTCCTCCAGACTCCCAGAGGGGCCTGAATGTCCTCCTCCTCGTCCCCCCGCTGGGTGTAACTTGAAGGAAGGTGCCGGCCGGCCCCGGGGACAGCAGGCGGCCGTCTCTGCTCTCCGCCCTCAGCCACACGGTCACTGCACGGTGGTGGCTGAGGGCGGGACAGCCTTTGTGGCCACACGGCCACTCGCCTCAGAAGGAGGGCACAGTTTGACAAGAAAGCTCTGACAAAATTACCAGTATCCCTGGTGTTTCAGCTCAGTAAGAGCAATGCATTGTGATTAAAAAACTGCATAACACTGGTACGCTTTGAAATGTTTTTATTAATAATGAGGACATCTTTTGTGGTCACACAGTAAGTCTGTTGATGGGCCAACTGTTGATGGGCGGTTGCTGGCTCTGATGCTTTGCATCTGCTGAGGGTCGTTCCTGTCCCGGCTGCTCCAGCCTCTGCCCCAATCCTGGGTGAGCAGCGGTCAGCAAGAGCCCTGCCTTCAGCTGCATCTTTTAAAGATCATTTTCTAAGTGAGAACCTTAAATATTTAACCTGTAAGGTTGTTTTAAGTCTTTCAAGGTACAGAGAAAATGGAATTAGTTATAAAACTGGAAGCAGAATGTGTGAAACCAGATAGCGTTTGAGTTTCTCAAAGGAAAACCCTGCCAAGCCAGTGTGGGTGGTGCTTCCAAATCCAGACCCCCGGGCGGGGGCGACGGCATTTTCAGTGGCCATCGCTCTGCAGCGACGGGGGTGAACGCTGCCGCAGTGAGCGCCCGCCCAGCCTCGGCCCTTCGCTGCTCAGCCACGTCCTGGCGCCAGGTCCGGGGGGCCGGGAGCCACGGGTGCACAGAGCCAAGAAGTGAGGGGGTGAGGCTCGGCGGCCCCCAGGCCCGGGTTTGTCACACGTCAGCGGCCTTGGTGTCACCTCTGGACGATGGTCTGGTCTGTTGACAGCGTTGTGATGACTTGTCTGAACATGAGACACGTAAGATTCAACCAGATAAAAGAACTCTTGTTATTACCGCCTTAATTACCCTAGAATCTGGAGAATTTTGTTTTTAAACATTCTGTCATCCTATGGTAGATCTATATACACTGACGTGGAAAGATCGCCAAGACATGACTTTTGGTGAAATAACAAAACAAAAAGGAAACTGCAGGAAAATATAATCTGCTCGGTTCCATGTGTGTGAAAATGAAATACCCCAGAAGATGGAAAGGACTGGAAAGGCAGCACACTCTTTGGAGTCTGCTGTCGAGAACTGGGGAAACAAACTTTGTTGTTGTTGTTGTTAAAACTGACCTATTTGGATTCAGTGCTATCAGAAATAAATATGCCCTCTTGAGGCATCACAGTGCTTCTGCCTCCGTGGAAGCCCTGTGCTGTCAGAACGTAGCTGCGAGTCACGTCTCAGCTCACACTGTCTCTCTGCGTGTTTCATTGCAGGGACAAGCCGACCTCTTGAAATACGCCAAGAACGAGACCGTGGAGAACCTGAAACAGATCCACTACGCGGCCGTCTCTTGTGGACTCAACAAACCGGGCACAGAAAACGCCGACGTCCAGAAGCCACGACGGAGCCTCGAGGTCATACCCGAGAAGGCAAACGATGAGACTGGGGAATGAGGGGACTTTCTGGACAGGAGCACAGAGTCTGCAACTCGAGGACCAACTGTCAGCCTGATGGGACATTCGCTTTGCACTCACTAATGAAAATAATGTTGGGGATTTTAAAGCACAACTGGAATAGCTAATTGCAGTCTTAAAACTGTGAATGTATGTAGCAACCCTGCTTATGGAGGCAAATAAACTCTTTAACAAGAAATTCTCTTCCTGGCCCAAATATGCTGTATTTGTATACAAAGATGTCATAATTCAGTTCTAGTGTGAACAACGGACTAGCCACTCTATTCCCATTGAGAAGCAGACATTATCCTAACAGAAAACAATGTCTTAAGATGCAGAAGGACTGTATGGTCTAATCAGTATTTATTGGGGGGGGGGGAAGAGTCCTAAAACAAGTTTTACTTAGGTATGATTGCTGGGGCCTCCGGGTTCTGGATGATTCTGGCAGCACACCTGCTGAGAGCCGCGCTTACTGAGGATAATGTAAGTAGCCCGACCCCCCAAACGTGCAGAGCCAGTGTTCAAGGGCGCTGTGGTGGGACGGCCGCTCCTGGCTGGAGACCCCTGCTGGGTACGCAGGCAACGTGAAGACCACCGACGCGGAAGCAACACACTGCACGTAGCTTTTCTCTGTATGAAGTTGTGGTCACATTAAAAAGATGTTTTATGCTATTTCTCCAACAGCAGTATGTGCATTTAATGAAAGTTTCACTTTTAAAATTTCCAGTTCAAGGTGTTCTACTAAGAGTGGCCATCGACTTGGTAAACAGCTTTGTCAGAAGCGTGTCTGGTTTGACATTTGCTTTCGGTACATCAGTGGCCCCGACTTTACACGGCGGCCACTATCTGCAAAGCCAACGCCTCGCCCCCTTCTCAGCCTCTCAGTTCTGCTGCGGGCTGAGCCTGGACCCTGTGCAGACTGCGAGCCAGGGGCACATGGAGCGGCTGGAGCAGGTGCTGCGTCCCTCCGGCCAGCTGAGTCGTTAACACCAGACTTTATTTTCCAAATCAGTGAGACGCCACACTATTTTGGAAAAGCGACTGGACACCGCAGACTAATGACTGCTCGCAAAGTTTGGAAGGGTAAAAGGTTTCTAAATCCCCAATAGCTGCTTTTTGATTTGTCCGTTTTCTTTTCAGCCACTCGGGTAAGTAAGCTGGATAACTATATGTGGAATTTGCACTGTGGTGCCTCACTGTTTCCTCACGGCATCTGCTCAGGCTGATACACTGAATTTATTTCTGCCCAGACCCTGAAATGGCCTTTGACAGAGTAAGTCCTTGGCCCTGTTCTTATCATTTTTCTGTTGATAGTGTGCTCAAATTAAGGTGTGCATCTCCACTGGTCTTCACTATCATTCCAGTTAGAAAATTAAACCTGTTACTTGAATAATAATAGTGCAGTTTCCTGCTCACACCGGGGAGCAGTCAGCCAGTAGCTGAGGCTCTTAGTTCTGAAATGAACTCTACATGGAAAAAAACCAAAACGAAACGAATAGAAAATAGTAAAAAATTAAAAGATTTGTAGACTGAGAAATAAAATAATGTGTAACTTAGATTACTGTTAGCAATCCTTGAACTTACCTGGCCAGTAAATAGCAATATTCAGTGAAAATCCAGAAATCATAAAAAAAAAGACAAAATATTAAGAAACAGCTACATTTATAGTAACAGATGGTATTAGCTAGTATGTGGCTTAGATAACTGAGAGCAAGGCACGTGTTCACACAAGCTTTTAGCATCAGCAGACTTGAGAGCCCAACAGGTCTCCGGGATCACTCCATCTGACGCGTCCTTTCTCGGATGCAGCGGCTGCGGACAAGAGCAGTGAAGTGTGCTGCCTGAGCTCACAGTCTGTCGGCGGAGTGACCCAGCGGACGGCCGGTCCAGATTGCCACACTGGCAAAGTCACCCTCGTTTGACCTTCTCTTCCAAGGGATGAGCCGAGCAACAGGAGAAAGCGGGGCTTCCGCGGAGCGGCTCCTGCTCCTTGAGGCCCCGCCGGAGCGCCAGCGGGCCGCACAGCACGGCTGGCTCGAGCTCGGGGCCGTCTTCTCGGACCCTCAGATTCTGACGGTGAAGACGCTGAGGAGGGGCGCTGACAGCCGGGGTGCGTGTGCTCTGGGAGCCCCGCTGGCCCTGCGCCTGCCTCCTTAGCTGCAGCCTTGATCCTCCCAGCCCGGGCCGCTGGTTCTGGTTGGGCCGCTGCGCCCGGCTGGCGGGTGGCTCCCCAGGGGAGGAGCGGGCCTGAGACGCAGACTTCTGGAGGCCCAGCTCTCCCCAGCTCTCCCGGCCGGCGCCCCGAGGGGAGGCTGGGGGTCCGCTCCCCCTCCCCCAGACGGCCCGTGAGTGCGGAGGGGAGGTGGGAGCTTCCGGCGGGCTCGCGAAGCTGAGGGATGCTGAGGGCCCCACGGGGTGGGGGCTGCGGGGAAGCGGCTGCATCTCGGGGGAGCCGTCAGGCCCCCTCCTGCCCGCGGCCCCGCCTCTCCTCGCAGGCCCGGGGGGCTGCACCCAGCCGGGCGCGGGGAGGGGCGTCTCCCGGGGGCGTGTCCCGGGGCGGCGGGCGGCCGTCAGAGGTCCAAGGGGCTCACGATGGTGAAGCCCGAGTCCTTGCTGTGGCCGCTGCTGTCGTCGTCGGGGCTGGAGCTGGGGTTGCTGGAGGAGGCGGAGGCCGGGCCGGTCAGCGGGTCGGAGAACACGAGCGCCGGCCGGGCGGCGCCCCGGAGCGGCCGCATTGGCTGGGCCTGGCCCGCTGGGCTGGGCCCGGCGCCGCGCTCCTCGCCGTCCTTGGAGACCAGGACGAAGTCGTCCGCGCCAGGCCGCTCCCGGCGCCCCGGGGCTGCTGGCGGGGCCTGCAAAGAGGTCAAGGCCGGGGGGGTGCGGTGAGGGGGCGCTGGGCGGGCCGCCTCATCCCGCGGGCTGCGGGGGGGGGGACTCCTCCGAGGGGTCTGGGTCTGGCCAGCCCGCGCCCCACCCTGGCCGGCCTCCCCTCCACACCACTCCTGTGCGCCCATCGGGCAGACGTCCGGGCACAGGCTGACCCGCCTGGAGTCCCGTCACTGCCGCCTGCTCATCCCAGCGGAGCACCGGGGTCTCCCAGGGCAGTGGGGGCACTGGGAGGGTCCACAGACACAGGGACCAAAGGGAAGGGCCTCTGCGAAAGAGCGCGGAGCCGCCAGAAGGGGAGTCACAGGGCTCTCTGCTGCAAGAGCCCCATTTGAAGAGGCCGTTCTGCTTCCTTAAAATCATAGAAAATGCACAATTTGTAAGCATCTGGATGCTACTTTTTGAGAAAGTAACTTAGATGAGATTTTGCTAAAATATTTACTCTCTGGGCCTTCACAGGAAACATTCCCTGACCCAGGTGGCTTATAGGATGGACACTGAGAAGTCCTACCCCCTGAAGGCCAAAAAGGTTCTGGCCAAGTGAAGTCCACTCAAGACGGCACCGGGGAAGCAGGGTCGGCACTCCCCCTGCTAAAGGGGAAGGGGGGGCGAGGGCAGAGAGCCGGCTTTCTGGGGCTTCCTAACGACCGGCAGCAAGTCCAGGCGGGAGCTGCTGCATGCAGGGGTGCAGGCGGTACGCTGCCCACCTCTGGGAGCCACCAGTCCACCGCCGAGGGCTCGGCCCGGAGCCCACGCCCCGCACAGGCGTGCACAGCGCCGCAGTTCAGCCACCCCGAGGAGGTCACAGCCCTCACTGAGGTGGGGGGGGGTGCTCTCGCCCCTCGCAGGCTGAGCGCGTTCAGCCACCCCGAGGAGGTCACAGCCCTCATTGAGGTGGGGGGGGGGTGCTCTCGCCCCTCGCAGGCTGAGCGCGTTCAGCCACCCCGAGGAGGTCACAGCCCTCACTGAGGTGGGGGGGGGGGATGCTCTCGCCCCTCGCAGGCTGAGCGCGTTCAGCCACCCCGAGGAGGTCACAGCCCTCACTGAGGTGGGGGGGGGGGGTGCTCTCGCCCCTCGCAGGCTGAGCGCGTTCAGCCACCCCGAGGAGGTCACAGCCCTCACTGAGGTGGGGGGGGGGTGCTCTCGCCCCTCGCAGGCTGAGCGCGTTCAGCCACCCCGAGGAGGTCACAGCCCTCACTGAGGTGGGGCGGGGGGTGCTCTCGCCCCTCGCAGGCTGAGCGCGTTCAGCCACCCCGAGGAGGTCACAGCCCTCACTGAGGTGGGGCGGGGGGTGCTCTCGCCCCTCGCAGGCTGAGCGCGTTCAGCCACCCCGAGGAGGTCACAGCCCTCACTGAGGTGGGGGGGGGGTGCTCTCGCCCCTCGCAGGCTGAGCGCGTTCAGCCACCCCGAGGAGGTCACAGCCCTCACTGAGGTGGGGCGGGGGGTGCTCTCGCCCCTCGCAGGCTGAGCGCGTTCAGCCACCCCGAGGAGGTCACAGTCCTCACTGAGGTGGGGCGGGGGGTGCTCTCGCCCCTCGCAGGCTGAGCGCGCCCTCAGGGAGCCGGTCGTACCTGCTGGGCGGCGCCACTGGAGCAGTAGTGGTCGTCTGCGATGCTGATCTGCTCGTTGTCCTCGGCCTCCAGCTGGCTCTGGTTGAAACGCAGGGAGCCCTTCAGGATGTCTTTGATCTGATTTCAAAGAAGACGATCCATGAGAAAGACGAACGGGTCTGCCTCTAAACGTCACCTAAACCTTGGGTACTCTTGTTTTTTTTGCTGTGCCTTGAGGCTCGTGGGGTTTCAGTTCCCCGACCAGGGACTGAACCTGCGGCCCTCAGTGGAGGCACGGAGTGCAAACCGCCGGGCCGCCAGGGAAGTCCCCTGACCTTTCTTCTCTGGTGTGGGGGTGAGTACATGACTGTAAGAAAGAAAGAACAGAAAGAAAAAACCCCAGCTCTGCCTTAGGGGTGACACTGAGCGGTCCCTGCCTGCACGGCCAGGCCCTCGCGGAGACTGTCCTCCTGGAGCGGAGACACCCCGTCGACCCCGGCCCAGGGAGCGCCCTGGCTCTGGGGCCCTGGCTGCGGGCCTCAGGCAGGCTGACGGCGAGGGCCCTGCACCCCTTCATGGACCTTCCTGCCCCGTTTGTCCGCCAAGTGTGTCCCTCGAGGGGCCCCGGCTGCTTAGAGGGGGAGATCATTTGTGCCTCGTGCTCCCAGGACGTCCACGTGTCTACAGGGGCATGACTGGACTTGAGCAGGGCAAACCCCCCGTAGCAGCATCAGAGAAGAGCAGACAGCAGGATGCGGAGAGGAAGGGGCGAGAGGTCGGGGGTGGGGGAAACGAGGACCCGCCCGGCTGCTCGACATGACCGCTGGGAGGAGCCGGGGCCACTCAGGAGGGGTCCTGTAGAAGGAAATGCGGGGGGATGTCGGTGCCCCAGGCGCCCCCCACCCCCACGACAGGCACTAACAGGCTGGCCTGGCTGCCCCTGGGTCAGGCGAACGGACATACCTGCTTCAGTCCGGCCAGGGAAACCAGAATCTGATCCTCTTTCTCCAAATTTTCTTGTAATATCACATCTTGAATATTTACTGAAAAATAAAAGAATGACATTTTATAACTAATGCCCTGAGTATAATTTATCGGCTGCTACACCATCGCTTCTGACCACATTTCACAGCAAGTCTTTCTACCAAGGATGCTCTGCCCAACCAGAGACGGGGCAGGGGGTGAGTACGGGAGAGGGGGCACAGAGCCTGGGACACACAGCCTCCCACCAACATGCCGTGAACGTGTTCTCACAGTGACAAAAGTGTCTTACTTCTGCAGAGGGCCCAGAGCAACCCTTGCTGACCCAAGACAGGATGAACAGCATGGAGCATTCCATCTAACATTTCTGCTAGGCTTCCTAGCAGAATTCAATGCTGTTAATTCACCCCCTCTGGCTAAAGACCAGGTCCTCCTGGGGACAGAAATTAAAGAAACTATCTAAAAACAGTGGAAACAGCGGCAGGTTTTATTTTTGGGGGCTCCAAAATCATTGCAGACACTAACTACAGCCATGAAATTAAAAGACGCTTGCTCCTTGGAAGAAAAGTTATGACAAACTTAGCATGTTAAAAAGCAGAGACATTACTTGGCTGACCAAGAGTTCATATTTTTCCAGTAGTCATGTATGGATGTGAGAATTGGACTGTGAAGAAAGCTGAGCTCAGAAGAACTGATGCTTTTGAACTGTGGTGTTGGAGAAGACTCTTGAGAGTCCCTTGGACTGCAAGGAGATCCAACCAGTCCATCCTAAAGGAGATCAGTCCTGGGTGTTCATTGGAAGGACTGATGCTGAAGCTGAAACTCCAATACTTTGACCACCTGATGAGAAGAGCTGACTCACTGGAAAAGACCCTGATGCTGGGAAAGATTGAAGGCAGAAGGAGAAGGGGATGACAGAGGATGAGATGGCTGGATGGCATCACTGACTCTATGGACAGGAGTTTGAGTAAACTCCTAGAGTTTGTGATGGACAGGGAGGCCTGGCGTGCTGCAGTCTGTGGGGTTGCAAAGAGTCGGACATGACTGAGCAACTGGACAACAACTACTTTAAAAACTTCAAAAAATATAAATGGTAAAGGACGTTGTCAATTCAACATAATGGTAAAAATAAAAGGACAAACTCATGGCACTGTGGTTGTCGCCTGATAGCGATGCCTGTGGAGTCAGCGAGACTCAACCCAGGGTCTTCACAGGAGCTGTCTCTCTGTGTCTGCAGGAGGCCTGGCCTTCATGCAGACTTGACCTGAAGACCTGCTGAGCAAGCTCTGACCACCGGCGTCATGCTGAGCTGCTCAGCGAGAGCTTCAGCGAGCGAGGGCCGTGGCCGTCCGCACGGCATGCCTGAGCCCCTGGTGCTGCCAGACCTGTGCTCCTGAGGGGGGGTTCTTAAAGAGGGGTATGCGTGAGTGAAAGTGCCCCCACCCCGCAGGACTCCTCTGGAGACTCTTGGTTCGGGGGCAGCAATTAAAACACAAAGGCACGGTCAGAGAACCAAGAACCCGTGCAGGAAGGGGCTCACCCTCCCCTAAAGCTGCTCCATCCCCTCCTGGGGCCGCACCAGGAGCCCAGTGACTCAGCCCGGGAGCTCAGCTCGCGGCCCTGCACTGGGTCACACCGTCCGAGGCGCCGCTCCGGGCCTGGCCCCACGGCCTCTGGTGCCCAGACCGCCCTTGGCGCGCTCACTGCCCGTGGGAGGAGGGCGGGGGCAGCCCTCAGCCTGCTCGGGCCTTGGGGGCGGCGTCCTCGGCACTCCTGCCTCCTCCTGGGAGCAGCCTTCCTGCCCGCCCAAACCGCGTGCCCAGGCCACCCTCGGGGCCCCTGCCGCCAGCCCCCCCACGGCGCTGACGGAAGCGCCGTCACATGTGCTGCTAGCACAGGCTTCTGCTGGCTTCTCGGGCGGCCGTCACCCCCAGCGGGGTCTGGCTCAGGGCTCCATCCCGCCCTCAGCAGGACAGTTGGCACACTTCAGGGTCACGGTGAGTAGTGACTGATTGAGTGACTGAACAAACATGGAAAAACACCCTTGGAACCTGCATTTCGAAATACTGAGATCCTTGTTGTTGCTGTTCAGTTGCTAAGTAGCGTCTGACTCTTTGCAACCCCATGAACCGCAGCACGCCAGGCCCCCCTGTCCATCACCAACTCCCAGAGTTTACTCAGACTCATGTCCATGGAGTCGGTGATGCCATCCAACCATCTCATCCTCTGTCATCCCCTTCTCCTCCTGCCTTCAATGTTTCCCAGCATCAGGGTCTTTTCCAATCAGTCAGCTCTTCGCATCAGGTGGCCAAAGTACTAAAGTTTCAGCTTCAACATCAGTCCTTCCAATGAACACCCAGGACTGATCTCCTTTAGCATGGACTGGTTGGACCTCCTTGCAGTCCAAGGGATTCTCAAGAGTCTTCTCCAACAACACAGTTCAAAAGCATCAATTCTTCAGCGCTCAGCTTTCTTTATAGTCCAACTCTCACATCCATACTTGACTACTTGAAAACCCATAGCTTTGACCAGATGGACCTTTGTTGACAAAGTAACGTCTCTACTTTTTAATGTGTGATCTAGGTTTTTTATAGCTTTTCTGCCAAAAAGTATTTCCAGCAAGGGACAAGGCAAAGACTAAGTCCCATCAACTTAAGTCCAGCCTGACAGTTTACTAAAATCTTCACCAAGAATAAATCTACAGACCATGCTGACAAGTCCTCTTATAGACAACAGCAGAAAAACAGCAGCCTGAATTTATTCAGAATGTGATTGGAGTTTATGGCTTTAGAAAGGCCCGCTTCAAAACAAGAAAGCAAGATGAATGGGAATGGGATAATAGATATAATTAGAGAGGGAATGTTTTTGGTTTCCTTAAAAGCCTGTAACAATTTGTTCTCTCAATAAACACACACACACACACACACACAATCCACTCAATAAGACACTAACGACAACCAAATGCAGAAAATTGATGAGACAGTTCTGTAGGTCTTTAGGAGGACTGAAAAGGTTGCCTTTGTGTTGATGACTCTGCCTGGGCTTTTAGGGCTGAGCTAGGAGGCGGAGGGCTGCCTGGGCACTTTGGAAGGGTTGGAGGTTTGGCCTGGTGAGCCGCTGAGCTGCGAGGGCGCAGGGCTCTGCTCCCGCCATGGAGATGGGGGCGGTGGGGAGCTCCCAGGGCCGAGGGGGAGCTCCCGGGGCTGAGAGGGAGCCTGGCCGGTGGGTGTGGGGGCGCCAGGGCTATGGCAGGAAGCCCAGGGCTCTCATGTCTGAGGAACTAGCAGAGGGAGGCCCGTGGAGCCCACGTCTAGCTCTGGGAGCCAGGAAGAGAGGTGACTGTGGAGAGCAAGCACGGTGCACATCCTGCTTGCCCCGGGGACCGTGACCTCCTGCTGCCTTCTGGACGGTCTGCTGGGAGCACCGTCTGAAGCCAAAAGTCTTGGCCACACCGCCTGTTCCTGCCTTCAATGTGCTGGGACCCATGGCCGAAGCACTGAGGACCGAAGGCCTTCAGGCCGACAGGGCAGTCAGAGGCTCTGGCGGGGACAGAGCCGTCTGCAGAGGTGAGCAGGGAATAGAGGACACTCAGAGGCCCTTCCTCAGACAACAGAGACATGGGAGACTCCAGAGTCCTGACCCACCCGGGCGGGGAGAGAAGACAGGACGGAGAAGCTAGCTGTGGGCCTCGGTCCAGAGGAGACGGGTGACCAGTAAGGAAGCAAGTCTGCCTTTAACCTGCAGGGTTAGGCCTCGGGCTGCCATTGGTGGGAATGGAACTTCAGAGCAAGAGTTTCGCATATCCGAGTCTGAGTGTGAAGACCGACTCTCCCACTCAAGAGCTGAGGTCTCACCACGTCCTGCTGGTCACGCGGGACGAAGACCCCATGGACAAGGAGCCCTCGGGATGCTCCGGCCTGCTGGCAGACTCCCATAAGCCCCAGGACTTCAGGGTGTGGTGGGCGTGCTGGCGGGAAAGCAGAGGGCAGCAGCGGGTAAGGAGCCGGAGGCGCGGAAGCCTCTGGTCCATCGGCCTCCGTGGGGGAGCCGGAGGAGCGGAAGCCTCTGGTCCATGGGCCTCCGTGGGGGAGCCGCAGGAGCGGAAGCCTCTGGTCCATCGGCCTCCGTGGGGGAGCCGGAGGCGCGGAGGCCTCTGGTCCATCGGCCTCCGTGGGGGAGCCGGAGGCGCGGAAGCCTCTGGTCCATCGGCCTCGGTGGGGGAGCCGGAGGCGCGGAAGCCTCTGGTCCATCGGCCTCCGTGGGGGAGCCGGAGGCGCGGAAGCCTCTGGTCCATCGGCCTCGGTGGGGGAGCCGGAGGCGCGGAGGCCTCTGGTCTATCGGCCTCCGTGGGGGAGCCGGAGGCGCGGAAGCCTCTGGTCCATCGGCCTCCGTGGGAAGGCCCCGCTCCTCCAGGCCTCTCCCTTCCGGTGTTCCCCTCCGCTGACAGCACGGCAGCTGCGGCCCCGACCTCACGGCCGTCGTCTCTGGAGTCTCGGGCCGGCGCACTGGTGGCCCCCCAGCAGCCCCTGACCAGACGCTGCCACGCGCCCTGCCCGGGAGGGCCTGTGACCGCCGTGGCCCGCGCCGTGAGGGAAGCCGCAGGAGCCTCTGGGGGGCGCCCCGGGGGCTGACTCTGGGCCTCTGGGGCCTCCCCTGCCCGCGTGCCCCTGGAAGGCATCAGGAGCCCGGCGGGTCCCCTCACGAGCCCGCGGACTACGGTCCCAGGGCCGCGGCAACAGCACCTGTCCGCACTGCCTGCCTCTGGGCTGCTCTAAGAAACATTCATAAATAGCTTCCTGGTGTGTCTGTTGTCTTGGGGTTAATGGACCAGAAGCTAATGGACAAGCGCTGCGGCTGAAAACGAGGGGGATGCAGGCCGGCGGCGGAGGGCCGGGTCAGAGCCGCGGCGCAGGCGCGCCGCCCTCAGGCCCCTGGAGGTGCCCCCTCCTGCCCCTCCTGCCGTCCTCCCACCGCGAGGACGTCTGTCAAGGCCCCACTTCCACAGAAGGGCGCCTGCATGGATGCGGGTGCGTGAGAACTGGGTGGGACGCCCGTGGCCTCG